CAGATGTAGAGCTAGTCAGTCTTTGCATCCCCCACAGTACCCGGCACAGTACGTTATACAGAATAAGTATTTCTTGAGGAAATAAACCAACTGAAGACCCAGAAAGAAGTTGTTGGCCATTGGCCCAGCACCCTGCGGTCCCTGAAGGTAGAGGTAGGATGAGAAGCCAGAATCCTGCCTCCAAGCTCCATCCTTAGGAGGACTTGGGCAGGAGGGGTCCTAAGCAGTTAATCCAAATATTTGTGTATTCCCTACAATGTATGACCACGTGCTAGCCCTTCAGTTAATAAAAAAAGATGGACAAGATAGTGTGTCATCCCCTGTCAAGCTCTCAAGACACTTGAAATCTAATTGGGGGGGACCAACCCATAAAAAGGCAGTTCTTTTGAGGACTTTTGGAAATCTGTCTCTTACCCCTAAGATAGCAAAGCAGCATTTGGTACATCCCCAAAGAGTGAAAGGGGAGAAAATAAGGACACTGCTGTGTACTGAGCTCCAGAGATGTGCCAGGCAGTGTGCAAGGTGTGTTCACATGAAGCCCCTCATTTTGCGGGGTGAGATTGTTCCCATGTTGTGTGTGGGCAGGCTCAGATGAAGAGATGTTAACTCATCCAAGATCACAGTCCAGATTCTCACCTGTCTCTGTTTTTTTTTTGGCTGCATTGGATCTTTGTTGCTGCGTGCAGGCTTTCTCTAGTTGCGGCGAGCAGGCGCTACTCTTCGTTGCGGTGCGCACGCAGGCTTCTCATTGCGGTGGCTTCTCTTGTTGCGGAGCATGTCCTCTAAGCCCTCGGGCTTCAGTCGTTGCGGCACGCGGGCTCAGTAGTTGTGGCACGCAGGCTCTAGAGCGCAGGCTCAGCAGTCATGGTGCATGGGCTTAGCTGCTCCGTGGCACGTGGGATCTTCCGGGACCAGGGCTCGAACCCGCGTTCCCTACATTGGCAGGCGGATTCTTAACCACTGCGCCACCAGGGAAGCCCTCTCACCTGTCTTTAACACCTCGAGTGGGATGTTCTCCACTCCTCAGCCAGGCACGGTGGGTTCTGGGATGTACGTGGGGCAGGGGCACTGGGAAGGGCTGGGGTTTGCTTCACCTTGAAGAGAGGAGCAGGATTTCCGTCAGCAAAGAAGACCCACCAGGGGGCAATATTGAGAGTGAAAACAGCATGGGAAGAAGGGCTTCAAGGCAGGAAAATGTAAGGTCTGTCGTGGGAGTGGGAGGGTGAGCAGTCGATCGGCTTGGCTAGCACTGAAAGTTTGCAGCCAGAAGTGGCAGGAAAGGATTGGGCCACGTTATGGAGAGCTGGGTCTCTGCTGTGACAGGAGAAGACAGTGAGGGCCTTCAAGAAGGGGAGTGACTAGACACGATTGTGGGGTTGGGGTTCGGGGGAGAGGCTGGTCTGGTGCAGCTGCTGGGGCTGAGGCTCTGGGGTCCAGGAGTCAGACAGTCCAGTGATCGGAGGTGGGGGACGTGTCATCCAGACTGATGGGAAAGGGTCACTTGGAGGCCCTCGTCCTTTCTTTTGTTCTGCTGGCCCAGTTCTCTGTCACTGTCCCTTCTTAGGTGCACAGGTGCCCAGTCAGCCTCTCCAGGAGTTAATGTTTAGACCTCCCCGGGCAGGTCGGTGCAGGGGGCGGGGCAGGGGCAATGGAGTGAGACGGAGAGAGGACAGAGAAACCTACGCACAGCCCCTGGGGAGGGGACAGGCGGCAGGGCCAGCGTCTGGTCAGGACATCTGGCAGCAGTGACCTTGCTGGGGAAAAGAGCCAAGAACTAGGTATCCTGGGCCTGGGACCACCTGCCTGAGAGGGGCAGGAACCCCAGCCCCCTGCTGTGGACGCACGTGCCCATCCTCGAGCCTGAAGGCGCTCCTGAGCCTAAAGGTACGCTTGTCCTGTTAGCAGCCTGCTGGGTTGGGTGCGGCCAAGCCGTGCCCCGGGGCCTGGGCTCACAGGCACCTGGTATTCAGTGTTGCCTGCTTCTGGGGGGAAGCTTTTGCCTCCCCTGTCCTCCCAGCCTATTGGGGTGGCAGGCAAGCAGTGCGGGAAGACCGACCGTTCAGCTGGCCTTGAGGAGTCTGGGGTCTTCCCAGGAGGAGGGGGCTAGAGGCAGAATAAGTCTCCTCACAGGGCGAGGCCAAAGATGAGGGGGAGGCAGAGCCTGGCAGGCGAGGGAAGGGTCCTCTGGCCTGGCTGTGCCCTCCCACATCCCTCCCAACCCCCTCCCCCACCCCCACCCCCCCCCCCACATCAGGATCCCTCAGCAAGGAATGACCTTGACAGTTACCAAGCCTCAGGTCGACAGAGGGAGCCCTAACTCTGCAGTCCCCTTGGTTCCGGGGCTGGCTTGAGGGGGACTATTATGCCCAAGGTGCTCTCCCTCCCCTGGAGGGACATACCTATGGAGTGAGAGGCAGTGGGAATGGGCCTTGCGGGACTGGAAGAGTGCTGTCCCAGGCTCTGACCTTCTCAGCCCATGGCCCACATGCCCACCCTAGCCACACCCGGGGCCTCTCCTTCCTGCCAGAAACCACCCTCCGACCCTTCAACATAAACCATCCCTCCCTTGTTCCTATCGCTCTACCCAGCTCCACGCTGAGCTTTCTGGAATGGGGGACGTGGCCCAGTGCCTCCCAAGACCGGCCTGCTATCTGGCCCTGAATTAAGGTTCTCATTAGGCCACCCCAGGAGCCAGTCCCAGAGCGTTATGGAAGCAGACGGAACGGGAGGGGGGGGGACTCAGTGGGAGCTCCGGCTCCTGAAGCTCCCCCACCCCCAGCCCAGCACCGAGGCCCCCTCCCTCCATTGCTGAAGAAGAGGCAGTAGGAGCTACAGCCGCCTCCTCCCCCCTCCCCGCCTCTGCTGCCTCCTCTGCTGAGCCGGCAGGTTGTCTTGGCAACGGGAGGCGGAGAGGAGATGCGCTGAGGGATGGAGGTGTATGTCACCGAGGAAGCTGCCGAGCCCCACGCCCCAGGCCCTTGAAGGTACCGCAGACCCCCTCCCTTCCCCCTCCCCCTACCCTCTCCCCTAGGCTTCCCCACTCTATCCAGAGTGCTTGTTTCCCTGAGGAATGCCCCCCTCCTCCCAGCCCAGCGACTCCCACCCATTCCTCCTGAGCCACCTCATTCCAGGCCCCTGTCCACAGCTGTCCTTCCTGGCAACCGCTCATTCCAGCCCTGCCTCTGGGGACCCTTGCACCGGAAGGCAAATATCCTGGAATGGGGTCTTGGGGGGTGGGTGGCGCATGAAAACAGGGAAGGAACCAAGATAGTGGGGAAAAATCAGGAATCCTAAAGGGCTACCTGGCACTTGATCTCCTGGAGAGGGGGCGGGAGGCTGTGCAGCCCTAGGGTGGGGACAGGGCGATAAGGGTGGGGTTGAAGGGGCAGAAAGCTGAGAGGCTGGGCTGGTTGTCCAGAAAGGCCTGGTTCCCCTCTGCTAAGGCTGTGGCCCGCTCCTGCCACATCAAAAGTGCACCTCCTCCTGCATCATCTCCTGGCCTTTATTTCAGGGTTCGATGGATCCTGTGTTTCTCTCCCACTCCCAGGCTTTCTCGTACCCTTCCACGGGCCCCTCTCCCGCCTCTGCCGTACATCCAGCAGCTAAGCCCAGGTTCTTTCCACACTTCCTCAGCCACTCGGCTACCTGCCTTTTTCATTTCTCCTTTCTTTCTGGAGCCCATCCTTCAGGATTCATTCTTCTCGGTCTCCCACTAACCCAGACACATCCCCCTCTTCCTGTCCCTACCCGTCCTCGTCTCTTTGAGAAAGAGGTCCCAGGGTACACTCTCACCTGTCCTCTCAAGACCCTCCCCACCGTGGTTTTTCCATTCAGATACCCCAGAGCCCCCTCCCCAGATTCTAGATTTCCCCAAGGACAGCTGATACCATCAGCTGACCAGCTGTGGGCAGCGGTTACCAGGGCAACAGTAAGGGCTGCCTAGGTAGGCAAGTCTGCACAGAGGTGGAGAGGAGGCTGTGCTGGGGCCAGGGTCAGCTGGCCGGGCTCCCTCCCCTGCTCCCAGGGGTCACAAATGAACCAGGCTCTGCTCTAAGCCCAGAGGGAACCAAAAGGCCAATGACAGGGGCCTGGAGTCGTGGAGGTTTTCCCAGAGACATTCCTGTAGTTCAGTGCTGGGACCTGGACATCACCTGGTGAGAACTTCTCTTTCGAAGACCCCGCCCTGGAGAGAGATTGGGGTCCTCCCCACTCTGTCCCCAGGGGATTTGGGTTACCCAAGGGCCAACCCGGTCTCTTGTGCTGAGCACCTGGTTTCTCGAAACCTCCCATTCTGTCCTCCCCAGGAGAGGGTTAATCCTTGGGTAACCAATTCTGGCATCTAGCCCACACCCCTGCCCCTCACCATCTATGCGCTTTGGCACCCCAGGGAGGCAGGGACCCCAGAGGCCTCTGTGGTGCTGGTTGGTGATGAGTGGGAGATAGAGGTGCTTGGGGAAACCGGGTGTTGTCACCCCTCTGTTATCAGTAGAGCCCCTTCCCCCTGACTCAAACTCTGGCTGTTTAGGAGGCTGGAGGGGCTGTGTGTGTGAGCGTGTTGCAGGGTTGGAGGTGGGTGTGGGAAAGGGAAAAAGGCCAGCGGCTGGCCGAGAGTCTGCTTCCGATTCTGCTTCGTCATGATGCCCAGTTAATGGTCCTCTTGTTTGAAACGGATTGAGCTGCAGCAAGCGAGGTGGAAGAGCAGGCACACAAACACACACCCGCAGGCCAGTGGCCACACGCTATCAGCTGGAGGTGGGGAGGGTGCAGGGGTGGGTGGGAGCCAGCGGCCCGCCCACCTGGCCGCCCGCCCGCCCCGCCTGGCCTGCCCACCGGCGCACACACCCGGCCCTGGGATTGCGCGCCAGGCTGGCGGAGAAGCGGGGTGGCGGCGAGGGGGTGGGGGCCCAGAAGGGTAAGTCCCCTCCTTCGCCGGCTGCCCACCCACTCACCCACCGCAAGCCAGCTTTATTCTTGTTATTTGTGCTCTGGGAAAGCACGCCGGGCTCCTGGAAGAGCCGCCTGTTACCTGGGCTTTCGGGAAAAGCCGCAGCCCCGGGATCTGCGCCTGTCCCTGCCCCCACCCTGGGGCCTCAGAGCATCTGGGCCACCCTGTCCGGGAAGAGGTAGGTGGCAGGGTCTCCCACCTCTCTTCCCCTCTGTGGGCACTTTGGCCACAACACCTTCCTAGAAGTGAGGCTCTGGGTGGTGGCAGGGATCCCGGGGTGGGGGTGGGGGTGTCAGCTATGGCCCCTTGTTCAGTGGGAGAATGGGCCGGACCCTGGGACTAGCTGGCTTTGATCTGACCCAACCTCCTTCTGATTCGGGGAAGAGGGGCTGGGGTGTCACATGCTGCCACCCAGGGACCCCTTCCCCTAGCTGTGCTGGTCAGAAGTCCAAGTGATGGGGGTGGAGGCTCCGCCTTGAGTAGGCTGGAGAGCTGTGCCATCTTTGCTGAGTGGTGGAAGGGAAGGGGGCGTTGCCCGTCTCCCCGCCACCATGCCACAGATGCTCCCGTTGTGGGTGGGGAGCAGTTCACTCAGAGGCCTGAATGCCATTGGTGTGAGGACTGCTCCTTGCGGGGAGGGGCCTGAGGAGCCTCCTTCTAGCCCGTAGCCGGCTGGGGTGAGGACCAAATGCAGAATGAGGCTGGGTGGCAGGGCATGGCCACAGGCCTGACCACGTTGCTCTCCTGGTGCCGGCTGTTGAAGTGCTTGCAGGTGCTGGGGGCCAAGCAGACACGCAGGCCTCCAAGGATCGAGGCACCCCCTTGCTAGCTCTGCCCCTCCCTTGGCCTGGCAGGCCAGGCGCCCTTTCCCGGGCAGGCACACCTGGTGGTTCTTTCCCAGGGCACCGGGTTGCTGAGTTGCGAGAGGCAGGGGAGCAGGGACAGGTGTAGGAGAAGGCAGGCAGTCTTGCTTTGGGAAGGGGTGGGGCCCAGGAAGTGCCCACGGGATGGGTAAGTGGGCGCTCTGTGCCAGGGACGGGGTGTCAGCACGTGGGGTGGGTGGCTGCGAGCGTGGAGAACGGGAGCCAAGGGGAGGATCGGTGGGTGGCGTGAGTGGGTGTCAAAGGCACCGCGTGTCAGCGTGGGGGGTGCCTCGCTGGGAGAGCGGGGGCGTGCATTCTGCAACCGTGTTTCGGCAGGGGCTGCCTGTGTGGGTGAAGTGCCTATGCCCACGGGGGAGGCTGGCCTCCGCGCTGCTAGCCTCGCTGTGGCCACATGTCCAACGCCGGGGCCAGCCTGTCCACCTGGGGGTGCAGGTCTGAGGAATTCCTCGTTCAGAGCTCACGCGCGTGTGTAACGACCAGAAGAGGGGCGCCCCCAGGATTCAGAAAGCTGAATTTGGGAGGCAATCTCCCTTGCATCTCCCCCAGCCCTATCAATCAACTTGTACAAGTGACACCACAACCCGCCAACAGGACCAGCTATAAATAGAGAGCAGAGCAGGAACAAGCTGAGGGCCAAGCAAACCTAAGGGGCTGGGAGGGGGGACACAGAAAGAGGGCCTCTTCCGGGGTGTGTAGAGAGAGGATACAGAAACCCAAGCGAGAGTGCTAAGAGAAGCTGTGTGACGAGATGCATATTTGTGGGGGGGTGAGGAAGGAAGGAAGGGGGCGCCCGGGCCCGCTCCTGCTGTCATCAGAAGCAAACGGGGAGCAGGGCCTTGAGCAGGTGGATTCCCAGGCTGGGACCCTAATTCTGGGCCCACCTGCCCCTGCCTGGTGCTTCACCAGAGTGCGAGAGGGTGCTGTTCAGGGTTAGCATTAGAGGAACCCCAACTCTAGTCCTAGCAGATGGAGTAGGGCTTAAAAATGGGGGTGCGGGAGAAGGCTAAAATGAGAGGGGGGTGGGAGCTTCATCAGTCTTAGAAAAGGCGCAGGCGCAGGCTTGGCAGAGGTTAAGAGATGTTCTGATGAGCCACCGGCCCGGAGCAGGGCGATTTTGGGGGCGATTGTGGGTGCCCCCTCCCCACGCACACACAGACACAGACCCCACCCTCAGGGTATGCCGGGGGGCCTCCCCTGTTGGGCTGGTCTGCTCCCACCCACCCTTCCCCTCTCCACCCTGGTATGCTGTTTTGGGAACTGGTGACCTAGCTGGATCCTGCCTTTATTTCTGGCATTGAGTTGTTGCCACAGTAACTGCGGGGGTGGGGCTGGGAGGGAGAGAGGGTGAAAGGGAAGCAGAGCCAAGGGAAGAAAGATGAAGAAAGGAAAGAAAAAGGGAATGGAAAGCAGAACGAGCGAGATGGGACCCGGAGGCACAAGGCAGGCAGGCACACTATGAATGAAACTGGTGAAAAAGGAGAGCGGCAGAATGCTTGCCCACCTGACCCCCAGCCCACTGGGCCAGCTCAGCCATTTCGCAACTCGTTTACTATCTGCAAGGCCGGCCTCCAGCCTGGCTTGTCCCTGCCCCAGGGCACAGAGCCCGCGGGCCCCCAGCCTCTCTGCTTTTGTCCACAGGCCAGTCCAACGAAGCAGGATTCTGGTGGCTCCACGGTATAAGGTTAGCACACGGGACCCCAAACCCCAAGTTCAGATTAAAGTGAGATCCTTGGGGACCCATTGAAAAGAGCATTCATTGGCTTTGACCTGAGACAGACCTGGGTAGGAATTCCAGGTTGGCTTCAAAGGGCCGAGGCGTGGGGGGCATGGGGGGGCAGGTCAATCTCTCAACAACATTTTCATCTCCTAATTGGGAGACATGAGCTTTGGTGAAGCTAGAGAGGATGGGTGAAAGTCCCTGGCCCAGAGCAAGTGATGGTTGGTTTAGAACAGGGCGGGAAGCTGGACTAGAGGATACCAGGCTGCTGTTCTGCCGGTTGAGCCTTCATTTCCACAAGCCGAGGGAGCCAAGGCCGGCTCAGCCCCTACCTGTAGCGGGCGCCCATGGGAATGGGTGGGCGGGCCTTATCTTCAGGGCCGAGCGGCTCTAGTTGCCATGGAGACGGGGCGGGCGGTGTGAGGTGGGGCCCGGCTGGGGGCTCAGATAAGGCGCGGCTGCACAGCTGGAGTAGGGTGGGTCCGAGATGGAAGAACTGGGCGCCGCCGGGGCAGCTGAGATGGCCCTTCCGCCACCTGGGCTGGCCTTCCTCCGCAGCTCT